AAAATAATGCCGATTTTACCTAAGGAGGAAACGGAGGGTGTCCGTACCCGAAGTCAACGCCAACAGGAGACGGACCAGAGGAGATTTGGTGGTGCAACGCCGCAGATGTCTGAGGGCCAGCCGCCGGCCACGGAAGCCGGTCCGTCAGCAGCTTCTACGTCTGTGGCACCTGACTTAGGTGCTCTGATGGTGATGCTGCAGCAGCTGCGGGGCGGACAGGAGGAACAGGCCCGTCAGTTGAAAGAGCAGCAGGAGGAACAGGCCCGCCGACACGAGGAACAGGCCCGCCGACACGAGGAACAGGCCCGGCGACAGGAGGAACAGATGCTCCTCATGAGGGACCTTCACGCTACCTTCGGAAAGGAGATAAAGGAGGTGAAGGATAGGGTTGCTCACCATGACAACCGCCTGTCGGAAGCTGAAAACCGAATCGAGAAAGCTGAAACCCGAATCGACCAAGTAAACAATCGGGTTGAAAACGTAATGGCTGACATGAAGAAATCACTGGACGAACTCAAACTTGGAGATGGAGCTACAGCTCCCGTAGTAGCTACAACACCTTCGCTACGTGGGTTCGTGGTGCCACCGTTCGATGGTACCTCTTCCTGGTCAGCCTACAAAATCCAGTTCGAGGCTGTTATGAAGGCGAACGGCTGGAATAAAAGTCAGGCCATGACTGCTCTCACACTAGGCCTGCGCGACCAGGCCTTAACAGTTCTGGAAGCTCTCGGCGAGGAAGTGACTTATGAGCAACTCCTTGAGGCATTGGAGGCGAGGTATGGCGACGCTCACCTGGAACACGTCTTTCGTGCGCAGCTTAAAGATCGCGTGCAGCGCATCAACGAAAACCTGCAGCAGTGGGCTCTAGAGGTGGAGAAGCTGGTGCGAAAGGCATACCGGTCTGTACCTGCGCTCATTGGAGGGAACCTGGTGCAGACATTCATCGACGGCATCCGTGACCTGGAAGTCAGAGCTGCTGTGAGGCTCGGGCACCATGAGACGCTTAAGGACGCCTTGGCCCATGCACTGGAGGTAGAAGCCGTGCGGCAGGATCATCGTTCCCATCGCGTCAGGGAGGTTGCAGCAGCTACAGTTCGCGACCGCAACAAAGGATACAGCCCTAGGTGCTATGGCTGTGGGGAAAAGGGCCATCTTCGATCCAGCTGCCCTAAGCGAACTCTAGAAAGGGAAGGTGAACGATCCCACTTCTGACACCAATTGTTACGAGCTTGAGGTTCGTGACAATAAAAATTGCCGATAAAATTACCTAAATTAACACTTTAATTTACTTTACACAATTAAAGTTAAAACACTAATAATTTAAACACACTAATTCACTTAATTCCACTCCGAAGCTTCGCTTGTTTCGCCCAAATCAACACTGCCTCCATCGCATCTTGCAGCGCCTATATATTTAAATTAGCAAAGAAATATCCAGAATGTTCAAGTAAACACGCGGAAGGTACCGAGCGTTCGAGTTTCGACTAGGCGCTGTCAGTTGAGTGATTTGTGATGTCATTTTCTCAATGCTCCCCTCGCTCTCGTTCCTGACACTAGATGGCGCTAGTTGACTTATTCATGCAACAATAGTCCCATACTGGCAGTATGTAATTAATTATAATAATAAGAAAATATGGTGTAAAATATTTTACTATGCCTAGCAACATTTTAATTATATTGGCGTCTTTCAAATTTAAGATTTATTATTATGTTTTGATGAATGTTTTTTTTATAAAAATATAAGATGCTAGGCAGTAATTACCAGTGAAATGAGATTTTTAGATTTTTTCACGATTTTGTGATGAGTAGTGACACCATTTTAAAGCACAGTAAGTTGTTTTTTTCTGCAAAATGGCGCGAGCTCTTTACACGACTACGTGGACTCGAGTACTGACTCTCTAGTACATAGTCAGTAATCTATGACTGACACGCTGAAAGTCGTACTTAGCCTTAAAAGTCTTACTCTAAACGGCTTCACTTTGCGTGCGCCTGTTGCGGTTCTAAGCCTAATAATTCTATGATTTTAGCAATATACTTTTCTTTATATTATAATAAACAAACTGCTTAGCAACAAAAACAAAATAATATCTTTTATATAAAGAGAATCTTAGTAGCGGGGCACGTGCTGTGTCGCCCCAGCCGTGCACCTCCCGCTACCCCTTTGACACCTTAACTAATTTTGTTAAAATCGATGTTTTCTTATCGAAATATTGTCACATACTGATGAAAAGAAATATCATTGCTCTTCTTTGTTTGCTTCCGTGAATCGTTTTTACAGCTTGGCACTACATATTTCACCATGGCAACTTAAAATTCAAATAAATGAGTTCCGTCGAGAGAAACAATTAATGCGCGTCACTTTTCGAGACTAATAACGTCGCCCTTTTTATTTCGGCACTGTTAAAACCTGTCATCATCATCATCATTACATCCCTTCACAAGTCCACTGCTGAACATAGGCCTCCCCCAAGTAATGCCACAAAGCACGGTCCTGAGCCACCTGCATCCATCGACTTCCTGCATGTCTTACTAGGTCGTCACTCCATCTAGTGGAGGGTCACTACACTACGCCTACCAGTACGAGGCTGCCACTCGAGAACCTTTCTTCCCCATCGGTTATCGGTCCTTCGAGCTATATGGCTGGCCCATTGTCACTTCAGCTTACTAATCCTGCGGATATTCTCATTTCTGAGTCTATCACGCAGAGAAACTCCGAGCATAGCCCTCTCCATAGCTCACTGAGCAACCTTGATCATCCTCATACGGCCAGCAGTGAAGGACTACGTCTCAGATCCGTAAGTCATCACTGGCAACACGCACTGGTTGTACACTTTAGTTTTCAGAGATTGAGGCATACCTGACGAGAAGATGTGTAGTAATTTCCCGAACGCTGCCCAGCCGAGTTGAATCCGTCGATTGACCTCTCGGTCGAAGTTGGACTTACCTAGTCGGACTATTTGTCCCAGTTAAACGTACTCGACAACAACTTCGAGCATAGTGCTCCCAACAAATACCGGCATAGGTGTGACATGGTCATTAAACATGATCTTTGTTTTGTCCATGTTCATCTTAAGACCTATCCGTTGGGAGGCACCATTGAGGTCATTGAGCATAGTGCTAAGGTCCTCCAGCTTCCTTCGGTCTTCTGTACAATCTTCCGCGGGGTATGTATGTGGTCTATGGTACTGAAGCCTTTTCGGAAACCGGCTTGTTCGGGAGGCTGGAAGTCGTCGAGTCTGCGTGCGTGACGATTCGTAATGACTCTCGAAAACAGTACGTAGACGCGGCTCAGAAGGGAAATCGGTCTGTAGTTCTTCAAGAGAGCGTTGTCGCCTTTCTTAACGAACAAGACCACCGCACTTCTACTCCACGCCTCCGGAGTAATGCCACCATGGAGGACGGAATTGAAGAGCTTCTGAAGGACTTCAAGTACCGGTGTTCCACCCGCTTTCAGAAGCTCCGCTATAATTCCATCCTCGCCTGGGGCCCTGCCGTTTTTAAGGTGCTGGAGAGCCATTCGAATCTCGCTTAAACCGACGTCCGGGATATCATCGGAAAAAAATCGGTTAAAACCAGTGCTTACTGTTTATTTTAGCCAACGAAAGCTCTTTAGCTTGCTTATAAATACTCTAAGATTATAAGCTCCGAGTAATTTTATATACCTTGTTCTGAGCCTACATCTTTCGAGCATACTATTATGGAGTGTAGATATAAGGAGACTCCCATAGGAGAATAGTTGAAAAAGTGTCCATCTGTAAGCAGTAAATAACAGTTCAAAAACTCTTCACTACAGCGCTCGAGTAGCTACGGAGTATGTTAAGTCGCCGTAAAATACGTTGAGAGTGATTTTTAAAATAATAAATTCGAAAGCAATAAAATAATTATAGTAAAAAGAATTATTGTGAAAGTCTGTGCAATAAAAAGTTATAAAAAGTTCTTTAAAATTTAGACTGTAGCTACAGTGTCACCCTTATTTAACGCTTTCCTACGGACACTTTTTATACATAGTCTGTACTCCTTTCCTCTACACTGTGGAGTGTAGAAGTAAGGAGTACACAACGTAGACAGAGAATGCTAAAGACAAAGCGTAGACAGAGAATGCTAGGATTCTCTGTCTACGGTACAGACTGTGTATTAAAAAGTGTCCATCATCATCACTAGAGCCCTTCTCAAGTCCACTGCTGAACATAGGCCTCTCCCAAGGTATGCCACAAAGCACGGTCCTGAGCCACCTGCATCCATCGTCTTCCAGCATGTCTTACCAGGTCGTCACTCGATCTAGTGGGGGATCGCCCTACACTTCGCCTACCGGTCCATAAAAACCTTTAAATAAGGATGGCGTCACTATAGCTACGGGGTAAATTTTAAAGAACGCATCGAAAAATATTATGTGAAATAAAATGTGAAAAATATTAGTGGGATAGACGAATTTTTCGAGGTTATATTTACTAAATAAAATTATTTTAGATTTTAGAGCTACTGAGTAGTTTAGCAGCACACTTAAACCGTCGACAACTGCTAAGTTCATTTCATCCCGGTAGCTACTCCAGCGCTGTTGTGGAGAGTTTTTGTGCTGTTATTTACTGCTTACAGATGGCCACTTTTTCAACTATTCTACTATGGGAGTTGGTACTCCTTATTTCTACCGCACTCCATACTCTACACTCCATATATACTATTTTCTATGCACGAAGCGTAGACATAGGTTTCTCTGTCTACGGCACGAAGCCTACTGTCATCTGTCATCTGTTTCTGACATTGACAATCTTTTGACAATTGAAAATTGTTTTGTTTTATTTTCAGTGAATGTAAATGCGAAAAAATATTAGCTGTAAATTACAATAGAAATGAAATTTTAATTTAAAGTTCAGCCAATTAAATATTCTGTCGGAAACGACTAGTTTTCATGTTTAACCAAGGAATCAATTATGTTTCGTCGTTTTTATCATGTTTCAATGCTTTTATATAATTACAAAAAGCAAGGCGTTAAGCTTTCTAAAATGATTAGCCCTAAAAGTAAAAAGTAATATCATTTATAATGATAACTTTCGTTTTTTTATTTAGCTAATCAATATTTAAATTAATATTTTGTAACTTTTTAGACAGTGGTACCCATCTCAAACTTTAGACACGATTCCAATGCCTAGTGTTAAAAGCCTAACAAAAATAAAATATGAACCTGGTAAAAGGGGAGTTCGAAGAGTGGCTGTATTGAATAAAATATTTATGAAATATATAACAGATATTATGTCTACTGGTACAGTAGCAATGAATATTGTTGGAAAAGGCATTGAAATATCAAAGGTAATTTGAAAATAAGACTGCAATGCATGTGGTTACAAATCAACAAAATTTAAACTTACTATTTACAGATCTGGCTATTTCTTTAGTAATCTGCCGCACAAATTTATGGTCGCCGAGTGGGCGGGTAGATGGGGGGAGGGGTAGGAACCTCCCCCTAAAAGAGCAGTGCCGGAATCCCCCCCCCCCTTTTTTTTATGAATTTTTAGTAATCTGCCGCATGAATATATTATGGTCGCCGAGTGGAGGGGGGCTGGGGTAGGAACCTCCCCCTAAAAGGGGAAGTGCCGGAAACCCCCCCTTTTTTTGTAAAATCAACCTCACTTTTTATACAGGAATATTGACGCAGTTACTTCTGCAACGGCTTCGGCACTGCAGAAAGTGCAGCCCCTTCGCCCTTGCATAGCAAATCACAGGCACCCATGCTCGCCTCCGCAGCTTCGGCTTATTGGTCGCCTTCAGCGACCAGCCTCATCCGCTATGGCTTGCTTAGGTGCCTGCGATTTGCTACAGCGGGCGGGGGCTGCTCTCCCTCCTTGCCTACGGCTTTACAAAAACATTCTAGGGGTAGGGCAGACAAGACTACGTGGAGTCGGGGTGTGCTAATTCGGTTTTAGAACTGATTCAACCAATTTTATCTATAAAGTATAGTTGCTCTTAACTCTGCTACTAGAGTAGTAAATGAAATAATGTAATGTGAATTGTTATAATTTTGTTATCTGAAAAACCTCTTGACTGCTTTCCACTGCAATTCAATTTGTTGTATATAAGTTCCATCTCCAGCCACAAATAGATTGTCTGGGTTCGAGTGATTAACTTTTTTATCAGTGTATCTGTGTTAGAAAAACAAATTGACATTTGTGTTTCATTATATGCAATTTAAAGTGAAATTTATTTTTATCGTAATTAATTCAAAAGGCATTTCTGAAATCCAAAAACAGTGTAAATGGAACGAGCTTAACCCTGACAACCCTCCTAAATTGAAAACAAAATTAAAAAATCAAGTATCGGAATTCTACTTCATAATACGAGAACAAATGGACATATTACACTATTTTTGGTGAAATTTGTTTTTATCGTAATTAATTCAAAATGCATTTCCGACATCTAAAACAGTATAATAGGTTTAAGCTTAACCCTAACAAGCCTCCTAGACTAAAAACATTATCAAAATCAAGTACCGGATGTCTAGCCGACCAGATATAACCTCAAAACTTTAACTATCAATATCTCGAAAAATAAAGATTTCCGGCATAAAAAGCAGCTAGATGGTAATCAATAGCATCATTGCCTGTCAACTAAAACTAAAATAATCACTTAAATCGTGCAGCAGATTACTAAAGCCGACCCCAGATCTGTAATGCTGGTACCTGTAAGTGATTGAGGTCAGATTGCCCAAAAATATTTAAACTTAGAGACCATCACCACAATTACTTTATATCAATAATATTTTGTGCATATGGTAGAGCCATGCTGCAAAATTCTCTATCCTGTGGTCTTAACAAAAGTCAGGTTTTACTTCATTACAAAACAGAATACTATAATACACAATAGAATGGCTGTCAACTTTATTTTGTACGAGGTTTGTTGATTTAATAAATTTACACATTTTAGACTTTTGATTAATGTTCAAGATCATTATTAAAAAAATCGTTTGAATTTTAATACATATTTATTTGCAAAAAGGCTGCAATTTGGCATTTTTTAAATAATTTGCATGCGAAATTTGGAAACAATTGTAACGTCAAAATACATCTCGTATTGACATTTATATGTGTGAATTGACGTGTTAGTGACATTTTAGTGGCTATGCGATCCGATCAGTGATCAGGGATCCGATCCATGCTGCAGTAATATTAGTAGTATAATTGTAGCATGAATGGTTCGGCTCGACCGGAGAAGGACCACGCTCTCACAGAATTCCAGTGTAAAATAGTAGCTTAATGCTTCTGTGTTTTGTGAACCGGCGACCCTTTTTACTGGAAATGAGGCATTCCATCTTGGTCCTCATGGGTACAACGCATCTACATTTTTATTCATATTCAGGGATCGCCTTGGTCTTGTTGCTCAGTTTGCCCCGAGCAATTGTTGTCTTGAGCGGAATTTTCACACAGTCAGTCTGAGCACCCACACTCAGGAGTGGAGTAACTTGATCGTGGATATGTCATATCATACATAAGTTAATTAAACGCGATAAAATCAATTTAAATACTTTTATTCAATGAGTAGGGTTTATGTTTCACTTCATTGTCTTGACCCAAGGAATGCGTTGCTAGAATTTTCATATTCTCATTGGATGAAAATTATTTAGTGATGAGTAGGGAACGGATTATATGCATTTGCATATTTAGCCCCTTTTCAGCGGTATTTGCATATTTTAGCAAAATTTTTGAAATCATGCATATTTCGCTCGATCTCCTAGCTGTGATAAGCACTCATTTCGCTCACATACCTACGAGTATTAAAATCTCGAAACTTATGGATTGGCGTTGAATGCATCTTATGAAGAAAATAGTTTTATGAACTCCTCGTTGCCAGAGTTATTCCCGAGTGTACAAGTAATCCAAAAACTTTACTAAATTTGGATGTTTGTCTTTAACTTCATTTAAAATAGTTTTATGCCAAGATTCCAGTGAGTTTATAGTTTTGTGAGGCACTCCTAATGAATTCCAAACAGCCACATAATTTTCGTCCTTGAGCCGTGTATTTTCGTAGTATTTCACAAACGAAATCATATTATCATTATTTTAAAAAGATTTAACAAATAGCCACCATGGTAGGACCATGACCATTAACCATTAACGACCGTACACAGGCGAGGGAGAAAATCAGAAGAAAAATAATATACTTACAAATTCCGATTATCTACCGCGTGTGGATAAACGAACACGCGTTTCCGAGTATTCACCCTAGGGTTGATATCTTAGGGTGACTAAACGGAATAACCCAGTCAGATGGGAGTGGCACCACATACCATAATAGTGAATTATGTGGTTAAGTTTACGAGTTTTTGTTCTGCAATTCTAGTTGTGTTTGATGGGTTTTCTCATGCAAAAGCTTAAATATGACAAGAATATTTTTGATTTCTATCAAGGTAATCAATCTGGATATAATTGTTACGAGCTTAGGGTTCGTGACAATTAAAACTGCCGATTGAATTACCAAAATTAACACTTTAATCACCGAACACCAATTAAAACTTAAAAACACTAATAATTATTCACACTGATTCACTTTATTTCGCTCCGAAGCTTCGCTTGTCTCGCCAAATTCAATACTGCCCCGATCGCGTCTTGCAGCGCCTTTAAATACACCTTTTTCACCGTAACATACAGAATATTCAAGTAAATACGGGTGCCAACCGACCAGGCGCAGAAAGTTCGAGTGTGGGGCTTCTAGAAAGCTTAATTCTTCTGTTCGATACTAGATGGCGCTGTTGATCGAAAGTCAAGATTGACATTTTCTAGGAAGCCGTCCTCGCTCTGGTCCCCGACACTAGATGGTGCTAGTTCCAGGTACCTGACGTCAACTTAGGCGCGTAACATAATTAAGGATGAATTAATGATTAATCCCCCCACTAGATGGAGTGACGACCTGGTAAGACCTGGTAAGAGATGCAGGAAGTCGATGGATGCAGGTGGCCCAGGGCCATGCTTTGTTTCATTCCTTGGAGGAGGTCTATATTCAGCATTAGATTTTAATCTTGAATTAATGACCAAACCATAAATATTGTATTATGGAAAACTCATAAGTTTTCTATAATAAAATTCACCTTTATTTTTAAACAACTGTTGTGGTTCACTTTTTATTGTCTGTTAAGTTGATTCTATATCAGACTCATAGAATGATATCTCATCACTAAATACCGGATTATATGCAACATAAAAAGCCCAAAATATGCAGGAAAAATAGCTAGCTAGTTTTAAAAAATATATAATATTTGAAAATATTTATAGCTAAAATATCCATAAAAAGGGCCTAAAATGCCACATGAAATAATAAAAAAGGCACTATTTTGAAATGTTTTTTATTTTAAAAAGCTATTATTTCTCAACGATAACAATCTTATTTGCGAAAATATCAAGTATAAAATATATTTACAATGAAATTTAGAATTTACCCTTGAAAATGTATACGACTAAGTACTGGTCCAAATGTTATGTAGACAAATTGTCAACGATTTTGTAAGCGGAAAAGGACCATTGCTACTACGTCCACTGAGGTGACTGAGCCATTTTTGGACTTATTGTGTCGGGCAAAATTTCACCCGCCCCGTTGATGTAGCTATCAATTTGGCATAAGGGTTCAAACCCTGGCTTATTGTTCAGTTTGTTTTGAAACTCTTCTTTGAGTTCACTCGGGAATAACTCTGGCAACGAGGAGTTCATAAAACTAATTTTCTTCATAATCCCCTCCAAGTTTCGAGATTTTAATACTCGCAAATATGTGAGCGAAATGAGTGCTTATTACAGCTAAGAGATCGAGCGAAATATGCATGATTTCAAAAATTTTGCTAAAATATGCAAATACCGCTGAAAAGGGGCTAAATATGCAAATGCATATAATCCGTTCCCTACTCATCACTAAATGTTTTTCATCCAATGAGAATATGAAAATTCTAGCAAAGCATTCTTTGGCTCAAAAGACAATGAAGTGAAACGTAAACCCTACTCATTGAATAAAACTATTTAAACGGATTTTATCGCGTTTAATTAACTTATGTTTTTAATTCCCTACGTTTCTGGTACTTTACAGCACCCATGGTCACGATGGAGTGAGGGAGCGGACTGAGATGTTTGACGTCCTTTGATAGTTATATTAAGAAATAGCTTTAACAAAAGACCTTATATATGTGTAAAGAACGTCTTGGAATACATAAAACATTGTACTAAGGGAGAAATGTAAAAATGTAGTTCAAATTGTGCTTTTTTTATAGTCACATATTTATTTTAGGTAAGAGTGACTCCAGATTTCCTAACAGTAAATGTTTTTTGGGTATGCAAAGGTGACTCTACAGATGAAGAAACAGAGAGCTTGCTTAACTCGGTAGCAGGGGCACTACGCCATGAGTTGTCTACGCTCAGAGTTATGGGGGAAGTGCCTTATATTGTATTTGTTAAAGGTTGGTTTTATTATTTGGAACAGTTTAAATTATGTACAAACATGTCAAAGCTGAATACGGATCTCTCCCATAAAGGAAAAGTAAAGTAAAGTTACAGCCTATATACGTCCCACTGCTGGGCACAGGCCTCCCCTCATTTCTGAGAGGGTTTTAATTTTAGGGCAAGGAAGTGTCCGCCGCGCTGCCCCAATGCGTGTTGGCGAATTTCTCATGTGTATGAAATATTTTTTTCCTTATTCCTCAGACATGCAGGTTTCCTCACGATGTTTTCCTTCACCGCCGAGCACGTGATAAATCAGCACTTAAAATTGCAATTAACAATTTCATTGGTGCCGGCGGGGATCGAACCCGGGTTACTCGCGTTCTGTTATATTTACAGCGAGCGTTAACAATCTGATAAAGTGTCTTAAACATACATTTACATGGTGGGTTGGAGTCCAGAAGTCTTGCACTTATGATACTGATCTGCATCTTCTGATTTTACATCTATAATACATATTAAGATGGCTATAGCATCATTTTATTTATTGATTAATTACAGACCACTGTTGAACATAAACCTGTATCCATAGATTATCTTATAAGGAGGGTATATTCGCCATAGTTTTTCACGTGGAAGAGACATGTTGCAGATATAGTGATAGTATAGTTGTAGCATGTATGTGTCGGCTCGACCGGGGAAGGATCACGCTTTCGCAGAACACCAGCGTAAAATTATAGCAGCTTAACGCTGCTGGGTTTCGTATGGTGAGTGTAGAGAATCAAAAACCCTTTTTACTGAAAACGAGGCATTCCATCTTAGTCCTCATGGGTGACAATGCATCTGCATTTTGATTCGTAACCATGGATATATATGTAGATGTCTATGGGCCACAGCAACCATTTGCCATCAGGTGGACTGTGTGTCCCTTGTGCGCTGTGTCACCCTTATCTATATATAAAATAAAACACACTTGAATGGCAAATTGGCAACCAGTGTTTTTTAAGTTTTTTGTCAGGTATATGCTGCTGCCCAGCTCCTGTTTTGTTTTTCTCTGTCACTTCTACTCAAACCACAACCATGAAGTGATATAGGTAGTAGTTATTCTTACGCCACTACATGCTAAGCTATGCCTAATTGAGTGCACAACATGATAAAGAAGTGAAGCCTCCCCCCCCCCCATGGAGATAATGTATGCAGGTTTCAGGTGGCTTTGAACCGTGTATTGAAGCATTTCTTGGGGAAGATCTTTGTTTAGATTTGGACATGCGAAGGGCTGTAATAATGATGATGATCGAATAAACCTTAATCCTTTTAAAAATTCTAGATAAGTATTTACCATTTCGATATATTTTTTTATAGGATAGGGTGACAAACGAGCACACAGTCTACCTGATGGTAAGTAGTTGCTGCGGCCCATAGACATCCACATCAATCTTCTATCGAATCAAAATGTAGATGTGTTGTCACCCGTGAAGACTAAGAAGAAATGGCTCTTTTCCAGTAAAAAGGGTCTCCGGTCTCTACACTCGCCATACGAAACACAGCAGCGCCAAGCTAATATTTCACGCTGGTATTCTGTAAGAGCGTGGTTCTTCCCCAGTCGAGCCGACCCATTCGTGCTACAACTATACTACCAATATAACTGCAGCGTGGCTCTACCACGTACCATATTTATAATATTCTTTAATGTGCTAATTGTGTGATATCTGAATAAAATGAATCAGACAGGCAAGAGGCGCAAGTAGCGGACCTGCAACGCCGATTAGCCAAAGCAGACTACGGCGAGGACTACACTCCTACTGAAATGGGTCATTTGCTGAAAACTGAGTTCACTTTAGACACGAAGCTGTCTCCTGAAATGAAGGTAATGTACTATTTATTTAATGATTTCTTATATTTACGCGAACACTATACATGATTAAAACTACTTTTACGGATTTTATCGCGTTTATTTTTACTTTTTATTTACTTTTATTTTTAATTCCCGACGTTTCGGGCGCTTTCCAGCACCCATGGTCACGGGGGACTGTCCCCCGTGACCATGGGTGAACCACCGAACCACCGAAATCCGTAAAAGTAGTTTTAATCATGTACTATTTATTTCTAAAATAATTGTTGTATGCAAACTGCAAGTTGTGAAAGTAAATGGTTTACGAGATTATTGGTAATTATTCTTTTTTTAATTAAACACGAGGCTTGGTAAAAATTGAATATATTAATAACTTGATTATAGCGCCGCCTATCCGATCCTTGCATAACTATGAATCATTGTCTTGTCAAAACAAATACAATGTGTGAATGTGGCCTCAATCGATCAAGCCGTTCAGAAGTTCTATCAACGAATATAAATAAAATATTTCGTAGACTACGTAATTAATGGTTATTATAACTAATAGCGATCAGCGAGTGTTGAAAGGCACACCGGACCTTAATGTTTAGTCGGAGAGGTCACGTCTAAAGAAGTCAACGCTCCGTTCCCCTTGTGCTCTAATCCAAAACCCCGAGAACCTTCAGCTGGACTTACATAATGCTTTTTAGTGCCTAGAAAATGGCTATACAATGAACGACATAAATAATAATAATAACGACATAAATAATATATCGTGGAAACTGTCCATGCGGTCAGAGCTAAGTTCTGCAAGACCCGTCGCAGAAACACCCAAAACACTCTCCGAACATTCTCTTTATTTTATGGCTATTAGGCGGGAAATTAAACTTCAGTCTTCAACAGATATGACAGCGTATGGGTAATTGAAAATACATAGTTAGACGTACGTAACTTCAATACAGCTTGTACTGAAAAAGCGATTGAGTGGGACCAAGGCTCCAATGTTATTTTCAAAGATCTGTCTGCCAGAAAGAACTACCAGTAAGTTAAAGAAAGAACTGACGCTGCTTTCCTCGAAACCGGAGATTTAGAGTGAGATTAGAGATTCCATGGACAGTATGCATCGTCGTTAAAGCCACACGCATGTGTAAGTTACGACCCAAGGGTCAGTCTCGTCCATTATTCCGATGATATCTCGGACGTAAGTTTGGTTGAGATTAGAATATCTCTCTAGCACATTACAAACGGCAAGACTTTATTACAACACATCTTCACTCATCAACACATCAAGTGTTTAACATAAAGTCTTACAGAAGTTGTTAAATTCCGTCCTCCACGCCACGGTGGCGTTACTCCGGAGGCGTGGAGCAGCAGTGCGGTGGCCTTCTTCTTCAAGAAAGACGACAACGCTCTTTTGAAGAACTATAGATTGATTTTCTTTCAAAGCAGCTTCTACGCGCTGTTTCAGAGAGTCATTACTAATCACAGAACAATAAAATCCTTGCAGAGTTACTACCCTGATTTCACGAATCTGAAGCGACAGTAGCCTAACGGCAGGGCGCGCACCGCGAACTCAAAAATATCGTGGGTTCGAATCCGCCATTCGACTACTGGCGTGAACCACTCGTAACACAAGCAATTTAAGCTTACCACGAGTGGTTAAGGGGAATATTAATAATGTTTATAGCATTATTAATATTCTTTAAAAAAATTCTAGCCTCTAGAACAAATCAATGTTCAAAAAGGCTTTAGTACAATAGACTCAAAGAATATTTTTCTCTCTAACGAGAGCATAAACTACATACACACCCTTCGAACAAATTACAGTCTTAATGAAAATTAGTTTGGTACAATCTGTCGCTTTGTCTTGCGTTATAGAAAGCCCCTAATTCGGTAGAAATTTAGATGGTACTACAGTCTCTTCAGCAGTCTGTAAAAAAAGGCTACGTACAATGGCTGTTTGAGTACTGAAACAGAGCGCTAAACTTATCAAACTGTAGCGAGGTGTAAGACAGGGTGATGTATATCCTCGAAAATCATCATCGCTGCTTTGGAAGACGTTACCAAGTTACTGGTCTGAAAATATTTGCCACACTATTGAGTTAATTGATCATAGAGGATCTTACCACTATGATCAATTAACTCAATAGTGTCTTCACCGGTTAGGTAATAAGATGAACATGGATAAGACAAGAGCCATGTATAAAGTCCATATCACGTCTATACCGGTAATTTTTGTTGAAAACACGCTTAAGTTATTTGTGAATATGTTAACTTACTCAGGATAGAACCAGATTAACCAACATAGCCCAACGGAGCAGTTAGCTGAAGTGACAGTTGGCAGTCCCTGTAGCTTGGAGAACCGACTACCGATCGGTAAGAAAGGTTTTCAAGTGGCAGCTCCGTGATTATTGGACATACCTGCCACTACATGGTTTACTATGATTTACATGTGCTAGGTAAATTTTACATACCTGTATTGTATTGTGTGTGTTATTATTATTATTATTATTATTACATATCTGTATACATCTATATTTTGTGTGGATTAGTTAAATCTATACGTGGTAGAGCGACGCTGCAGCTATATTATGGTTGTAGCACGAATGGTCGGCTCGACCGAGAAAGGACCACGCTCTCACAGAATACCAGCGTGAAATAGCTACTGCTGTGTTTTGTATGGCGAGTGTAGAGATCCAGAGACCTTTTTTACTGGAAACGAGGCTTTCCATCTAAATACTCAGGGGTGACAACGCATCTGCATTT